GTAATCTCTTCAATGCTCACAGTCAGTAGCGATACCTCAAAAATGGCGCCTGCGGTGACGTCACACACAACAAACCCACGTGTCTGACAAAGACCGATCATATTCCTGTCTCTTGTCAACACCATGGTCAAGATCAGCGTCTTGACAGCAGATGGATGGTGCTATCGTGGCGTAATAATCTGTTTGGTTGTAAAATGTATTACCTGAATGAAATGAAATCGAATGTGTCGTCCTGTGGAATCATTCATTCACAGACAGCATACGAAGATGTTCAACTAATAAAGATCTTCATCGCTGGCAAACAATTTGATAGATTTGCAGATTTGCTTTCACTAGACTGTACTGTAGGTCTGAATGATCTGTTCAGTTTTCTGCACGCACTGAATCACTTCGCGCTTTCTATTCACACTCGACTCTGAGTTGTAACAGGAAGATTTAAGAACATCAAGAGCGTTGGATGAAGTGGCCATGGACCTACAGTACAGTCTAGTGAAAGCAAATCTGCAAATCTATCAAATTGTTTGCCAGCGATGAAGATCTTTATTAGTTGAACATCTTCGTATGCTGTCTGTGAATGAATGATTCCACAGGACGACACATTCGATTTCATTTCATTCAGGTAATACATTTTACAACCAAACAGATTATTACGCCACGATAGCACCATCCATCTGCTGTCAAGACGCTGATCTTGACCATGGTGTTGACAAGAGACAGGAATATGATTGCAGACATCACGAACAATGTTTCCATGTGCAGTTTGTTAACGTTAGACGTTGATCGTCTTTTTGTCTGGTAGCCTACTAATAAAGTTCACTAGCTAAACACTAAGCTATCATTAGCTAGTTCATGCTTACAACTGTTAGCTAACAATGACTGTACCTAACGTTAGTTGTTCGCTGGATCGACCAGCTTACATGCATCTTTCACTGTATTTTACTGAACTCAGCACAGGGCCAACCAACCCCGTGACGTCACCAGTTATAATACTGCACAATGGCGGCGCCCTTGCCGCTCGAAAGATATAACGGTGTTTCTTTTTTCTTTTATATGTTAACATTTGTCATGTTTCTTATATAATTTTTGATTATAGTGGTAATCCATCTTGTAAATTATGTAAACTTGACTGACTGCTTCATTTCCCCTTTAACCCTCTGGGGTCGGCCGGCGCGCCGGCGCGACAAGCTCGTTTTTTTTCACATAGCAAAAAAATAGACTTAAAATACTCGATCATATCTGGTCATACAGACTTAAGAAATATGACAAAATAAACTGTTAAATGTCTATTTTTTTATGTGTCCACTTACAATCGAAACGAAACTTTGTGCTTTTGTAAAATAAAGAAAATAAACAGGGTGTGCTGCCTCTCCGTCTCGTTGAACTTTTTTTCTGGAGCACGTCTCTAAACTGAAACAAAACTCAGCGAATACTATTCACCCAGGCGTGAGATGGACTGTATATCTTCATAATCATTTAAGTTTGTACTTTTAAATGATCTGATTCAAAGCGAAAACAAATTTTCTCTGTTTAAGTAATTTGTATAAAACCAACAAGATTTCTAGTTTCTCAAACGCTTGCTCATTATTTTTAATTTGACCACGCCCACACCCGCAAAAGAGACTGATATGCAAATCTCCACGAAGGAACGCGAACGCGCTCATTACCTCAAAAACAAAGCACCAAACTTCAGTCCTCTCCTCTGCTTTTCGTCGAGTTCGGAAGACATGCAGTGAGCTTACATTGGATTTAGTTACCTCAGAAGAAGAAGAACGTGATTTGAAGACAAGAAAGATGTAAGGTAAGAAATGTATTATGAATTAAATTAGTTAGTGTTATTGTTGCATAAACTTAACATTCCAGTTGAACTGTTGCTAGACTAAAATGTATGAAATCGACAGAAACATGTTGAAATATGAACTCTAGCCTAGACAGGCAGGAAATGTACAGTATATGTCATGTACGACACGAGGATGTTTTTATGTTTGATAATAAAACACAGCTTTATGTTAGGCTAGTATCAGTGTTTACTCTAATATGGTGAATATTATAATGTTTAGAACCATCATGTTTACTGTTAAATACTGTTGTAAGGGGTATACAGTCAAAGACCCAGAACCAGATATGAAGAATGAAGACCCGGAGTCAGAATTATAAAAAATTAAAGAAAAGTTTTACTGAAGATAGTATGCAGTTTCATCAGCAGAAGTCAGCTTCAAGACTCACCCAGGAGTTCGTAGGCCGCCCCGCTTACAGTTACAAAGATCACAGCAGTTATACCATTTCCAAGGTCTAAGCTACGTCATTGCTTACAGGTTGAATGATTCTCATTGGCTAAGAAATATTAAGAGCCGAAACAATTTAACACATGTGAGGAGATAGGGGTGCCTATCGCCATTAGTCAAGATAGTTGTCGTCCACTCATTAGATTTAGGTCTGTGGTGGCCTCGCAGGTTAGAGAAGGGCGCCGGGTTGTCTGGTCCGAACGTCCAGAACCTACATAGAATGTCATACGCACACACACACACACACACACATAACAGACACTAGCAAATAACAGCTCCCATCAAGGCTGAAGAGAGTCTGAGCTCCTTATTATCAGTTAAGTATACCAAAACATAATGCTAAAACATTCACTCATTTGGGAGAAAAACAGATCACTGGCATTTACTCGGAAGGAAGGAAATATACTGGAAAGAATACATTTTAATACAACAATTAAAGTTTGATAGTAACGCTCAATATAGCTTGACCATATGTCCAGCGAAGAATCATATGTGCCCACGCTGCCTTTAGGACCCTCTACTGATACCAGAGAAAGAGACAAACGGCCTTGTGGGTTACTTGGCGTTCGTGTCCTGCGTGTACTACGTGCAATCTCAAAGTAAGATTGGAATGCACCTAAAAGAAACTGGTTACTTACATCACATGCATTTAAGAAAATATAATTTCACAAGCACAAAGAATATAAAAATTATTATGTGATAATGAATATATTTGATTATTGATTTTTATAAAGGAAGTATATAACCATTCAAAAGGATATATGATTATAGATGTATTTGAAGAGGCAAGGGATTTTGACCAACCCTTCACTGTGTTTGTAACGAATGGAAACATTTGAAGTAAACGTATCCATATTTTTCTCTAGTGTACTGAAGTGTTTATTTTTAACGATTTATAGGCCGCATGCTATAGGCTATTATTATTATTATTTGGAATTAAAATCACCCCACATCATCACATACCCTTCACCATACCTAGAGATTAGCATGGGGTACTTTCCATAAGATCATCTTTCAATGCAAATCAAACCAGCTATTAGGCTAACTGAAATAAAACCATGTCTATATTGTGAAGGGTAGTCAACTTTAGCATGGGTGTGTTCACTTATTCTAAGCACTGTGTGTGTGTGTATGTATGTATATATATATATATATATATATATGTATATATATATATATATATATATATATATATATAATTAAATCGCAATTTTAACCAGAAAAATCTACAATGCATGCCCAAAGTCGTGCAGCCATATAGTTTCTCTTGATATCAGCATGTTCACGGGTGTTTATTTTTTTATTTTGTTTTTAACAGGGACGAGATGCCACTGATGAGTCCTGCTGACTTCAACATTCAACACTCTCTGTACATGAACATGGTAAAATGAAAAATCAAACACCTTGGAAATGACAGGTATGTACTATGTTTCAGGAATAGCACAAAAGGTGTGTGACTGTTCAAGCCTCTGTCTTTAGATCAGTGTGTTTACTAATGTGCTTTTTTGTCCTTTGTTGTGTATCTTTGGATTATGTTGTGTTGTAAATAAATCCAAACAATCTAAAAGCCATTCTTTTTTAAATCTCCTCATTCTTTGTGCAAGGCTCCTCATAATGATATGGCCTGATAGCACACCTAATAGGGCCATTATTGTCTTTCTCAGGTGTGAAATGCATACATATTAATGAGAGATCATGTCTCCTCGCATAAAGCTTTCTCACACAAAACACATCATACAAATTATAAATCACTTTATTGTCTTTTCTGAATGAGTAGTCAGGATGTTTCTCACATAGTTTTGGAGCAAATATTCTAGGCTATGTGATACAATTTTCAAAAGTCTTGTGAAGAAATAATCAATATGTGTTTTGTGGCCTTATTTCAGAAACTTTCATTTTTAGTTTTTTCAATAATGCATAAACAATATTCTCTCAAAAATACAAACATGTACATACATGTTGCTCACATATTATGGTAGCCCTGTTTGTGCTAAATAGAGTGTAATTACACCTGTGACATTAATATGTTTATAAGCAACTGAAAAAAGCACAAATGTCAGGGCATGTCAAAAGATCTCAAGGACCCCAAAAACACCTTAAACCCCAGAGGGTTAATAAATCTCATATGTAAAGCCGCCTTTCTCCTCCATTTGATTCTGGGGTTTTTGTCTTCACAACTATCATCCTGCTTATATTAAAGGTACAATATGCAGGATTTTTCGCCACCAGGGGTCGCTAAGCTCTTACAATAACAAAGGCGTATATTAATGACGTATATTCCGCATTAAACGGAATTATGGATCTTGTCGTCAAGCTGATGGATCTTTTATGGATGAGTGAATACATTGATGTTTTTAACATGACTGTGGTATGAAGCAGGGCGCGATTGCTAGACGTATACCAGCGCCACACGAGTCCCGCCGGTATAAAGGAATAAGGACATTTCATTCTACGGAACTACACGCTAGTAATAATAATAATAATAATAATTCATTACATTTATATAGCGCTTTTCTAGGCACTCATTCAGCACTGTGCTTCACATGGAAGGGGGAATCTCCTCAACCACCACCAATGTGCAGCATCCACCTGGATGATGCGACGGCAGCCATAGTGCGCCAGAACGCCCACCACACACCAGCTTACTGGTGGAGAGGAGACAGAGTGATGAAGCCAATCAGTGTATATATATATATATATATGGGGAGCAGTGCTGAATTAATACTCACACAGGTCAGTTTATCAGACGAATGAAACTTGAGGTAACGCAGCGCTGTTTCACTTGCTCTAACAGTTACACTATCTCACTAAACGGCATTTGTGGGTGGAATGTTGTTAGTTAGGTTGTTTGTTGGCTGTATGAGACAGTAAGCTAGATCAACATTAGAATAACATACAGATCATATTCTAACTTTTCATCATGTTGAACTACATAACATTGATTAGTTTTATGTACATTTGCTCACCTGTCTAATAAAGTAACATGCAACACTCGCGTCTCTATCAAGTCGAAGTTAGTCGCGGGCGTGGAGCTCTCGGCATCTCGAAAGATGTTGATCTTCGTTTTAGTCCTCTTTTTGTCTCAAAGTCTGCTTGCCATGGTCCAAAATGTTTGAACAAAACAACAACAGCGTGAGCGTCCTTCTAGGCATAACGGGCATAACCGGTATAACCCAGTTGTCAACGTCTGTCGCCTTGGTTACTATTGCAGTACGAGGTCAAACCTGGCGGAAACCGGGGGTAACGCGGATATGACGCCATTGACTGGCGACTCCTCACCCCTGCTCACACGCCCCGTTTCCTTGGTTAAAATCGCAATTTTCTCACGATTTACAAATAGTTGGAAACATTTGGGATATTGTAAGTAATCAACTAAACAAAATATATAACATTGGCCTAGTGGTTTTTGGATATTTTACTGCAAAAATCCTGCATATTGTACCTTTAACAAACACTACAAAGTTCACCTGTAAAGTTTAAAAGTACAAACATTTTTATTATTTTGATTTATAGTCAATAAGTCTAAGAAGTATGATGTTCAAGTGTAATTTTTGTGGTAAGACACTGAAAAATTGTAACATCTAAATTAATTGGTGTTGTAGAAAATTTAATCTTACACTGACTAGTAGTGAAGATTACTAGGTAGTTTGAGCCAATGAGTAAAAATATACATGTGTACGTGCTTGTGCGTGACGTTTCAGGAACATATGGGACAGGACCTCTGACCTAAGGGACGGTCAGATTTGGCCAGTTTATTTCAGTATCACTTCTGTCCTTGTGTAGAAACTGAACAGCAGAAAGGACCTTATCTGGACACAACTTATAAGGAAGAACCTTGAAAAGAGTATAAAGGCTGTCTCCATCTCTTCCTGTCGGTGTCACTCTCATGCAGCGTAACTTCTGTGTGTCAGACTGAACCTATTCTTGCAAAAATAAATCATTTTAAAAGACCGTTTGTCTCAGAATGTCTCTTACGCAGTTATATTGGTTGGTTAATGATTTTTTGCCACAACATTGGTTTAATATCACTGAATCAGCCCAAATACGTTAATTTATAGCCTAGACAAAAATGTTTTTTTTATAGATTATATCAGGTAGAAATCAAATTGCTCTTTAACCCCTTAAGTGTCAAACTGAATATTTACTGAATATTAAACTGGGAGTGTTTCATTGTTTTCTGCACAAACTTACAAATACAGAAAGCAAAATGGGAATTTTGATGATCCACCAGTAGCCACTGTCCATGTCATCCCAGCACCTACCAACACATATAAACACAGGCGTTTATGATACACTTAAGTACATAAGATCCAAATGTACTCCGCAATAATCTCATTATATTTCTGCTTGAGGAATGTCCAGATGATTACTGTGACAGATGGAGTCCCTGTAAGAATCAACGAACACTTCAGAATAAGTTATACTATAATCAGTGGTTTGTGTGTAAAATATGCTTCCTGTAATGTAATGTGGTTTTACCCCACCCAATAAGAGTATACCACCAGAAGAATGTTCCCTTGCGGGCGAAGGTGAAAACTAACAGTGTCTGGAGATAAAGTCCCTCAACGAGCAGCCAATAGAAATTTGATAACACACAGTACTGGAAGAACGTCACCACAGCCTTGCACAAAACCTGGCAGATGAAATACAGCATTCAGTTATAGAAGATCAGATGACCTGATTTATGCTATGGCATTTATTTTGCATTGATCTTATCAGTCATTTCGTCGGTGTAATGTACAGTGGAGACTGTGCAGTGATTGATTGTCTCGTCGGCGAATAACACAGCATCTTTTACAAACACAGCCAAAGCCCTCAGGATGAATGTGGAGAAGAGGTTGAGGTGGATGTAGGTCCGTGTACACAGAAGCTTTCTGTTGGATTAATGAAAATGCGACACTATTACGTGATATCAGCATTCCTTGAAGCAAAAATAATATATATATATAAAAAAAAACTTCACCAGAATTGAATTCCAGCATGTAGCAGAACAGTGAAAGAGTAAAGGCACTGAAGCAAGAAGTGAATGTTTAAAGTTATTACCTGAAGATGCAGAAGATGAAGACCGCAATACAGAGAGAACCAATGGACACGCCGTACCCAACGGTGTATATCAACTTCACCATGGCAAAGTACTCTCGCTTCCACAGTAAAATGGAAAATATCAAGTTTGGATACCACTTGATTCATCTTGGAGAATCCATTTGATCTAATCTAAAGTAATAAATTAACTTTTTCTTTAAAGGTGATGTGACTGTAATTTTTTTTGCAATATTTAAATTCTTCCTGTAACATAATTGCTTAGGGCAGTAGTTAAACCTTCCTTATCCACATCATGATTTGCATAGTGAGCTGAACAGTATAATTCTTAATACTGAGCTCATATTGATAACTTAATGCAAACAATGAATATTGAACATGTAGCCACAGGTGTCACATACAAAGCATAACAAAACAGGTTAGACACAAAAAAATGTATTCGGACACTTAAGCCACGCTTAAATATGGATGACATTGTATCCGATAAAATATCAAACCAAGTGCCATTTCTCACACCTAGGGGAAGGGGAAGTGTTCAGGAAACCTGTTTAAAAAACATTCAAAAACCAGATCATATTTATGTTTGGTGATGCTGGTGGTGAAAAAACAAAACAAAAAAAAACACACACTTCACTTTCCACAATACAGCAACATTAAACAGGATTGTAAAACCCATCCAGAAGTGCAATAATCCATAGCATTTAGTTACGTTCATTTAATATCAAATACGATTTCTTCAAGGCTTTTACTCTGTGTCCAGTGTCTTCCTGATCTGTGCTGTTGTCCTGAAAGCAGGCGCTGTAATAAGGCACACTCAGCCTACTCCATCCCTCAGTAGTGCAGGTGCGGGTGATCAGCTCTAAAGAAGTCAATCATAAAGACTTTTACATTTACTGTACGTCACAGCTAGTGATGTGACATTTGAACCGAGGCATCGGAGCTTGTGTCGAGAAAAAATGGGCGTGCCAGATGAAGCCGCGATTCGAGGCTTGTGTTGTAAAAGGAACACTCCGACTTTTTGGGACTTTAGCCAATGGGCTATATGCACGCATAACTTCCGCGTTTGATGCAAGGATGCTCTTGCGTTTCCGGTTGGGGAGATTTAAAGCGGAGGAAAACCGAGGAAAACGGGATTATGACAGAGTCTTCAAAATGTACTGTCCTCTCGTCTTTGAAACGAAACTTTAAAACGTTTAGATGTAATTTTATATATAGTTATGTTTATTTAATATAATAAACAAAGAAGCATAAACAACATGAGGGGTGTCTGTTTTGTCTGTTTTTGTGACTAACGTTTCTTTAGTATAGCAATAGAGTATAAAAACCAATATAAATTCTCGATATAGCATTGGACTCTACGATCGGCGGAAGTAATCCAGCATCCTTAGACCTTCACCGGAAATACTGCCGTGCATAGAGCCCATTCACCTTATCCTCCAGAGTTAGATAAGTCCATACATACCTTTTTCATCTCCGTGCGTGCTATAAGTCTGTTTGACGCACCCACCGCTAGACTAGCTTAGCACAAAGACTGGATGTAAATGGTTGCAGCTAGCATACTAATCCAAATAAGTGACAAAATAACGCAAATGTTCCTATTTACATGTTGTGATTTGTATAGTCACAGAGTGTACAAAAAACAAAGTCACATGAGAGACAGACATATTTTAACCGTATAAATACTGGGAACTATATTCTCTGAAGGCGAAGCACTGTAGAGCCCGGAACACCTCCCCGGGAAGGCGTCGAGGAGGCATCTGGAACAGATGCCAGAGCCACCTCAGCTGACCCCTCTCGATGTGGAGGAGCAGCGGCTCTACTCTGAGCTCCTCCCGAGTGACCGAGCTTCTCACCCTTTCTCTAAGGGATAGCCCAGCCACCCTGCGAAGAAAGCTGATTTCGGCCGCCTGTATCCGGGATCTTGTCCTTTCGGTCATGACCCAAAGCCCATGACCATAGGTGAGAGTAGGAACGTAGATTGACCGGTAAATCAAGAGCTTCGCCTTGCGGCTCAGCTCCTTCTTCACCACGACAGACCGGTACATCGACTGCATTACTGCAGAAGCTGCACCGATCCGTCTGTCAATCTCCCGTTCCATCCTTCCCTCACTCGTGAACAAAACCCCAAGATACTTAAACTCCTCTACTTGAGGCAGGAACTCTCCACCAACCTGAGGTGGGCAAGCCACCCTTTTCCGACTGAGGACCATGGCCTCGGATTTGGAGGTGCTGATTCTTATCCCAACCGCTTCACACTCGGCTGCAAACCGTCCCAGTGCATGCTGAAGGTCCTGGTCTGAAGGGGCCAACACGACAACATCATCCGCAAAGAGCAGAGACGAAATCGTGTGGTCCCCAAACCTGACACCCTCCTTCTCCAAATCCACAAAGCATATGTGGATTGGTTGGGCAAACTCCCATGAACCCTCCAGCACTCTGTAGAGGGTATAGAGCTGGTCCAGTGTTCCACGGCCTGGACGAAAACCGCACTGTTCCTTCTGAATCCGAGGTTCCACCATCGGCCGTATTCTCCTCTCCAGTACCCTGGCATAGACTTTCCCAGGGAGGCTGAGAAGTGTGATCCCCCTGTAGTTGGAACACACCCTCCGGTCCCCTTTCTTAAAAAGAGGGACCACCACCCTGGTCTGCCATCCCAGAGGCACTGTCCCCAACCGCCACGCGATGCTGCAGAGGCGTGTCAGCCAAGACAGCCCCACAACATCCAAAGACTTGAGGTACTCAGGGCGGATCTCATCCACCCCTAGTGCCTTGCCACCAAGGAGTTTCTTGACTACCTCGGTGACTTCAGCTAGGGTGATGGACGAGTCCACCTCTGAGCCCTCAGCCTCTGCTTCCTCAATGGAAGACGTGATGGCGGGATTGAGGAGATCCTCGAAGTATTCTTTCCACCATCCGACGACATCCCCAGTTGAGGTCAACAGCTGCCCACCTCCACTGTAAACAGCGTTGGTAGGGCACTGCTTCCCTCTCCTGAGGCGCCGGACAGTTTGCCAGAATCTCTTCGAGGCCAGCCGATAGTCCTTCTCCATGGCCTCACCCAACTCCTCCCAGGCCCGAGTTTTTGCCTCCACAACCACCCGGGCTGCAATCCGCTTGGCCTGCCGGTACCTGTCAGCTGCCTCAGGAGTCCCACAAGCCAACCAGGCCCGATAGGACTCCTTCTTCAGCTTGACGGCATCCTTTACTTCCGGTGTCCACCACCGGGTTCGGGGATTGCCGCCTCGACAGGCACCGGAGACCTTACGGCCACAGCTCCGAGCGGCCACTTCGACAATGGAGGTTGAGAACATGGTCCACTCGGACTCAATATCTCCAGCCTCCCTCGGGATCCAGTCGAGGCTCTGCCGGAGGTGGGAGTTGAAGATCTCTCTGACAGGAGACTCGGCCAAACGTTCCCAGCAGACCCTTACAGTACGCTTGGGTCTGCCGAGTCTGTCCAGCTTCCACCCCGCGATCGGATCCAACTCACCACCAGGTGGTGATCAGTTGACAGCTCCGCCCCTCTCTTCACCCGAGTGTCCAAGATATACGCAGGTCAGATGAAACAACCACAAAGTCGATCATCGACCTACGGCCTAGGGAGTCCTGGTGCCACGTGCACTGATGGACACCCTTATGCTTGAACATGATGTTCGTTATGGACAATCAATGGTGCCAAACAACTGTTTGGTTCCAATCGTTCTTCAAAATATCTTCCTTTGTGTTCAGCAGAGGAAAGAAACTCATACAGGTTTGCAACAACTTGAGGGTGAGTAAATGATGACAGAATGGGTGGAGTAATGATCATTTTTGGGTGGAGTATCCCTTTAAATACACAGAGGAAGATAATTAACGGAACAGGAAACAAACTCAGTAGCATGCCATTGTAAAGAATGTAAGTCTTTACACAGCCTCATTTTCATGTGCATTAAATTGTTGAAATTACACCTTAACTGAGGGTACTTGTAATTTGTGTAAAATTAGCTTGAATTGAAAACAATATAATGAAATGGATTATGATTATTTCACTTAAAGGGATAGTTCACCCAAAAATTAAAATTCTGTCCTCATTTACTCACTCTCATGTTGTTCCAAACCCATATGAGTTTCTTTCTTCTGCTGAAAACAAACAAAGATATTTTAAAGGGATACTCCACCCAAAAATGTAAATTCTGTCATCATTTACTCACCCTCAAGTTGCAAACCTGTATGAGTTTCTTTCCTCTGCTGAACACAAAGGAAGATATTTTGAAGAACAGCCTTCTTCAGGGTGTGCTTTCCTAACAAACTATTTCCCCTTTTGTGTGTGCTAATTAGAGCATTACACCTGTGACATGGTGAGTTATGAAGCATGCCAAAATAATATACACATACAGAGAGTCAACTAGGTGGCTACATTGCAAATTGAATCCAAAAACAAATTTATATACAGAAAAAATTATCACAAAAAAGGACTGAAATCAATTTTTTCATTCAACCCCGGGTACACTGTGGCCTGTAAATCGTATATATAAGAATGTTTCTCCCTGTAAAAGTAATTTTAATCGGTCATCACCCCGAATGTTCTTTTTGATCGTTTTGATCGTTTCTAAACCCTCAACCCTACACTCATATGTATACTGTTATTCTTGTTTTATTATGTATTGTTGGTTACCATTTATTATAGATGTCTATTTTAACATCACTTAAACCTGCGTATACTGGCGGGTGACGCTAGGGGGCAGTGGTGAGCCGCAGGGAACCTCATTGGTTCTTGCTGAAGCTCAAACGTGTTGCGTAACACAAGAATGAACCTCATCGGTTCTTGCTGAAGCTCAAACGTGTTGCGTAACACGAGAATGAACCTCATTGGTTCTTGCTGAAGCTCAAACGTGTTGCGTAACACGAGAATGAACCTCATTGGTTCTTGCTGAAGCTCAAACGTGCTGCGTAACACGAGAATGAACCTCATTGGTTCTTGCTGAAGCTCAAACGTGTTGCGTAACACGAGAATGAACCTCATCGGTTCTTGCTGAAGCTCAAACGTGTTGCGTAACACGAGAATGAACCTCATCGGTTCTTGCTGAAGCTCAAACGTGTTGCGTAACACGAGAATAAACCTCATTGGTTCTTGCTGAAGCTCAAACGTGTTGCGTAACACGAGAATGAACCTCATTGGTTCTTGCTGAAGCTCAAACGTGCT